TTCCAGCCCCAGGGGTGACTGAGCACCCAGTCCCAAACCTCCAGGCAGCACCCTGAGGGCAGGACGAGAAGGATGTCCTGCAGCTCTGGGCACCTCAATTTTCTCCTCTCACTTCCCTTCTCCCCTCAGGGGACTGTGGTTGCCATTATTTCTTGCTGTCTCTTGACCGTTGTTTTGCTAGTGTAACCTGGATTTGTGTTTGGTGGTCGTTAATATGAAAAGTGGGGGAAATATCTCTCAAAATTGTGGTTTAATGAAGAATTAATTTACAACATGTGGCTCACTCAGGAGGAGGAGTTGGGGGTTGTCGTTGGTACCATCTCAGCCCGTGGAGCCAGGCTGGGAGAGCTGGGGATGTTCAGCCTGGAGAAGACTCCAGGGAGACCTTAGAGCCCCTTCCAGTGCTCCAAGAGAGCTGCAGAGGGACTGGGGACAAGGGCCTGGAGGGACAAGACACAGGGAATTGCTTCCTACTGCCAGAGGAGGGTTGGATGGGTTATAAGAATGAAATTCCTCCCTGTGAGGTGCTGAGGCACTGGCACAGGTTGCCCAGAGCAGCTGTGGCTGCTCCCTCCCCGGGGGGGGTTCAGGGCCAGGTCAGGTTGGATGGGGCTTGGAGCTACCTGGGCTGGTGGGAGGTGTCCCTGCCCATGGCAGGAGGTGGGACTCGATGAGCTTCCGGGTCCCTTCCAATCCAAACCAGTCTGTGATTCCATGATTCTATCTGAAGAATTAAAGAACCCCTGAAGCTGAGGGGGTGTGTTTGCTCTCAGGAGAAAACGTTGCTGTTTCTCTGCTCTCAGGCTCCATAAAGAGTATTTTTGCCAAAACTCCTGTGTGAAGGTCGAAGCCTTCAGCTTCCTGCGCACCTTATAAAACAATCAGTCTGTGCCCACAGAGAAGTAGAGGGAATAAAAATAGCTGCTGTATCTCTGTAGAGAACAAATGGTGTCAGGGAATGGAGTGGTGGGAGGCCCTGGGAAGGAGGGGAAAGTACTAATTCAACATGTGTTGACTCATAAAGCTTTTGACACTGTCCCATATGGTATTTTCATAAATAAACAAGGTAAACGTGGCCTGGGTGAAACTGCTGTTGTGTGGGTGCAACACCAGTGGGAAAATTGCAGTCAGAGAAGGAAAATATCAATATTTTCCTTGCAGGGGGAGCACGTGTCAGGAGGAATCCCACGGGATCACTTCCCAGCTCAGTGTTACTCACTTTATGTCTGGCAGATTGCACAATGAAACAGGGAACAAGCACACATCAGTGCCATACCGGGACCGTGCAAGGGGGACTGGGATTCTCCAGAGGGTCAGCCACTAATTCACTCTGGTCCTGTGGATCCAGAAGGTGAAATTAATAAAGACAGCTTGGAGCGACAGAGAATAAATAAATGGATGAAAGCAGCAGGGAATGACAGACTGGACAGGGCTTACACTGGAAAGTGTCCGGGGAATGTAGTGGGTGAGGAGCTGGAAGCAAATCACCAAACCTCCCATGGAAAAGGAGATGGTGATGGCGTTGGGGTGTAGGAACAGGAGCACCATGTCCAGGGCAGCTCAGACAGGGGTCAGTGTTTTCCACCTGACATGTCCTGGCTCAGGGACAGCAGGTGCTGAGAGGCTGCAGACACATTGCAGGTGCAGAAACAGCTGATGGTATTGACAGCTCAGCCTTCCAGAGAAGAACCTTCTGCTTTGGCAGACCCTTATGGCAGTGCCTGTGGATGAGGGGTTGGTGAGAGGGCTCAGTGTCCACCCAGGCAGAGGGGGAGGATGCCCAGCTCAGCCCAGGTGATCCCTGACTCGGCCCAGGTTACCTCCAGCTCAGCACACACCTTGCTCAGCATTCCAAGTGTGTGAGGAGCCCTTGGGTGTCTCCCTGCTGGAGCAGGACACAAAGCAGTGAGAGGAGGACACACAGCAGTAGGAGGCACTAGCAGCACTCCAGTTGTGCTGATGTTGCTGAGATGCCACTTGCTCCCCAGGAAGGTGAGAGGATGTGTCGGGATGCTGCAGGTTTGGTGACCTGCACCAGGGACAGTGCTGGGGGGACAGGGAAGCAGAGGGACACGCTGAGCAGTTTTCTGCCTTAACTGAGGCCAACATGAAGTCAATTTTTAACCTGTAGGTCCATAACTCAGGTTCAGGATTTCTTTTCCTGCCAATAGTGCTGTCACTTAGTGCTTCTCCTTTCTCCCATCCACCTGCTGTGGGGCTGCACCCTGACAGGCTAATGAGCACTGATTCCATGGGCATTATACTGGCAGAGAGTACAGGGAATTAAGCCTGTCTATAGTTCCCTCAGGCTTTCCCACTGGATTCACTAAAAGGGAAGTCCTTGGAAACACGAGCTAAAGGTACATGTCAGCATAACTCACATTCTGCTTTCTCTGACTGAGGAGCTGGCACTGCCATGCAGCTCTGCTGCAGGGGACATCACATCTGCCTCTTGTCCAGCCAGGAATGTGCCAGGACAGGGAATATGAGCTCAGTGCTTTGTTTTTGAACTATGAATCATAGAATCATGGACCTCAGAGCCCCTTCCAGTGCCTCAAGGGGCTCCAAGAGATCTGAAGAGGAACTTTGTACAAAGACCTGGAGGGACAGGACACAAGGAATGGCTTTCCGCTGCCAGAGGGCAGGGAGAGATGAGATACTGGAAAGGAATTCTTTGCTGTGAGGGTGGTGAGGCACTGGCACAGGTTGCCCAGAGAAGCTGTGGCTGCTCCATCCCTGGGAGTGTTCCAGGCCAGGCTGGATGGGGCTTGGAGTAACCTGGGCTGGTGGGAGATGTCTCTGCCCATGGCAGAGGGTGGGACTGGATGATTTTGAAGTTCTTTCCAACCCAAACCGTTCTGTGGTTCTGTGATTATTTTGGAGGCATCTGAGTGATGCTCTGGAGGGGGTTGGGTACCCTCAGGCATTGAAAACCAGGAAGGGAAAACCAGATACATGCTGGGAACAGTGCTCAGCCTCATGTTAATTTAATCTACTCTTATTTCTCTTCCCAAGCCCAGGAATGCTGATCACTCTTACAGCCATTGCCCATCATTTCTCCCAGGCATTTTCCTGTTCCGAAGAGCCCATGTTAGAATGGAAAAGGTCTTGGAATCTGTTGTGGTGGCAGCAATGTGCCTTCTGCAAAACACATCTGAAATGTAGCTTTTCAGCATTTACCAGTAGCCTGCTTAAAAATTGCTCTGTGTACTGGTTAATGCTCAGTTCCCTCACCACAAACCCTTTATTCCACAGGCTGCTCCTTGCCTGAAGGGCTCAACATGGGTAATTCCATTTTAACTCTTTTTTTATAAGGTCTTTCTCTGCTCGTGGCAGAGTCTCTGACATGTTGCTGCACATAACAGAGAAGAAAAGACTTTGTGTGTCTAAAAAATGTGAGTTCTGTTTGCCTAAACTGAGCCTATTGATGGTGAAGGCAATAAATGCCACATTCATAAAAGCTCCTGAAGGAAAACCTTCCTGGGCATGTGTGGGGGAGGAACTCACTGCAGGTGCTGAAGTGAAAGAGCAGCTGGAATACCTGACAGGAATGACAGATGGAATTGTGCTAATATAATAGTGATATCTGTGCAGGAAACATTTCTTGGGTAATGATTTGACCTCACATTTGCACAGGACTTTTCACCTCCCACTGGAGATGTCTCCTCACAGTGTGCCCTGTTCCATGGGGTACAGCAGACAGAGTCCCATGGCATCCTCCACCTGGATCAGGAAATCCAGTGAAGCAGAGTTGCTGTATTGCCCTTTGGGTGGAGAAGGGAATGTTGTGTCCTTGTGTGCAGTGTCTGGGCTAAAAAAGGAACCATTTTGCTGTCTTGTCCCAGGGTTTTGCTATATTCTCTCAGCTGCTGCTGTCACCAGCATGGCTCAAATCCTAATTAATTGGCCATGCAGCAAACAGTTATTACTTACTTACTTATAGTTCTGTATTATTTCTGACAAATATTTCTTGCAGTCGATCTCTATGCATAGAAATATTCAAAACTGCAACAGCTTTACTTTTATGAGCCCTTAAAACAACGAAATAGATCATATAACAAATCCCTGATGGAGGGAAACATACCCTTGTCAGAGGATTCAGAGCTGTCCACACCAACCCCTCATTAGTTAGATTTTATCACTTCCCTCATCTCTTGTTTTGGTGGATCTCTGTTACAAGAGAAGAAGCCTGAGCACTGTCAGATCTGATTTTTGATGTGGTAATGAAGCTGCAGCCAATATGGTTTAGGATTTTGGGTCTGTTTGCCCACAGAAAAGTTTGTCCCTGGAAAGAGCTGTCAGGCATTGGAAGGGGCTGTCCAGGGAGGTGGTGGAGTCACCATGCCTGGAGGTGTTCCAGGAATGACTGACATGACACTCAGTGCTCTGGTGTAGTTGACAAGGTGGTAATGGGTCACAGGTTGGACTCGATGGTTTTGAGAGCTTTTCCAACCTCAGTGATTTATTCTATGGTTCTGAGAAGGCTGAGTGCTGTTGAGGTTGGATTCTCCAGTGCTGAGCCACAGTGGCTCTGGCCATGCTCAGGAGTCTCCTCCCTGAAGACCACGGATCCTGCTAGAAATTCTGGGAGGCTCCACAGCTACACTCATTGCATATTTACAGAATCACAGAATCCCTGAGGCTAGAAACACCCTCCAAGACCATCAAGTTCAACCTGTGCCCCATCACTACCTTGTCAGCTAGACCAGAGCACCGAGTGCCACATCAGCCATTCCCTGAACACCTCCAGGGATGGTAACTCCACCCCGTCCCTGGACAGCCCCTTCCAATGCTCAAACATACCCAAGTGTCCCTCTAACCTTTGCTCACCCATTAACAGCAGAAGATCTTCATCATGTGACTTGCCCAATCACACTGACATTTTTTAATGCCTCGTGTTCCTTTTAATTTATAACCATTTGTTTTGCTGCCTTTGTTCATTATTTGCTTTGTATTCATGTTGTGTTTTGTTTGCTGTCTCCTGCCTCCCTCCCTGCCAGGTACCAGCACAGCCAGGACCCCTCCAGCCCGGTAGCCGATGAGCACACCCTGATAGCCACCTATGTGATGCGGCTGCAGAGCGGGGCACGGTCAGTGCCAGGATTGGGCCTGGAGTAGGGAGGGGACGACCAGAGAGGTTTGGCCTCTGTTGTCAAAGGGAGGGAAACACCTCTGGCACTGGAAATTAGTGTTTAGGTGTTCCATCAGAGTGGCAGGTTAATGGCTGGACTTGGTGATCTTAGAGGTCTCCTCCAACCTTGATGATTCTATCATCAGTATTCCCTGAAATCTTCTGAATGGATCTGTGTCCGTCCCTACCCTGTGGTACAGGATCCCTTACACAAATGCAGTAACACCCCAAATGGATTAATTCATTCTTTTTTTCTCTCCATGGCCATTCTGGAATCTTTCACCACTAGGAAACTAATTTCCACATTACCTTTTTTCACAGGAGGCTCATGCCCAGCACTGTTCTATAACTCTTACCTGTTCTTTTCTCCTCCTTGCCTGTCCCTCTCCACCCCAAACACAGCCACAGTCCCATCTTGTTACTGCCTTTGTTCTTGAAACTACCTCTTCCAAGTCCCCCACCATGACCTGCTCAATGCAACGGCTCCTGGCTCTGCCCTTCTAAAAAAATAGTGTCAATGCCTTGAGGAATTAATTTCTTTTATCTCAGCTTTGATATTTGTGCACATTTATATTTCATGGCTCTGTCTATGCAGAGAAGTTTCACCCTGAAGCCCCAAAACGCAGCCCAAAATGTTTCATCCCAGGACACGGCCAGGGGGTTCCATGTTCCACTTGTGGGCCTAATTAACTTGTGCCTTTGCAGAGCCAGAGCTGTGCTGGGAAGGACAAGGAGGTTAGTCATCTGGGGGCTGTATGTTGCTTGCTCTTTCCATGTTTTCATCCTCTGGATAATATTTTTAGAGCCCTATTTCATCATGTGTCATGCAGAAATTCGTATTCCACTGCTGTGTGGATGAAGGGCATCTCCTGGGAAAGGCAAGTTTTTCCTGGTGGTGAATCACTGCTTTCACCTGCAGGAAAGGAGAGCCCAGAATATTTTCCACGAGACAAAAAAAAAAATTCAGACTCTCACCTTCACGCAGTTACTGCAGTCATTGGATTTGGAGATACAAAAGAGTGTGTCTTGAAGGGAATACGACAGATTGAAATCTTGTGTGTATCATAGGATCACTGAGGTTGGAAAAGACCTCCAAGATCATCAAGTCCAACCTATGACCCATCACCACCTTGTCAGCTAGACCCGAGCACTGAGTGCCGTGTTTAGTTGTTCCTTGAACACCTCCAGGGATGGTGACTCCACCCCCTCCCTGGACAGCCCCTTCCAATGCCTGACAGCCCTTTCCATGGAGAAATTCTTCCTGATGGCCAACTTGACCCTCCCCTGGCACAGCTTGAGGCTGTTTCCTCTTGTCCTGTCCCTTGTTCCCTGGGAGCAGAGCCTGACTCCACCTGGCTGCACCTCCTGTCAGGGAGTTGCAGAGAAGAGAAGGTCCTTCCTGAGCCTCCTTTTCTCCAGGCTGAGCCCCCACAGCTCCCTCAGCTGCTCCTGCTGCTCCAGCCCCTTCCCCAGCTCCATTCCCTTCCCTGGACATGCTCTAGTCCCTCAATGTCCTTCTTGTCATGAAGAGCCCAGAGCTGCCCGCAGGACTGGAGGTGCCTTAACAGTGCCTAGTAAAGAGGGAAATTATTTCCCTGCTCTTTCTTTTGATCTTCACCTCCCAAAATCTCACATAATGATATTTTTTTGGCAGCTGTGAGGGATCTCCAGTGGCTCCAGCCAGCCAATACCAATGGCCTCAGTCCCTGACTGACTGAGGTAGCAGTAAATCGCCCTCACAGACAGCTTTTCCTGTAATAACCATCCCTAGCTGTCTCTCTCCTGTTCTTCTGTTGGCACAGCTCTGGCTGTGTTGGAGACAAGGTGCAGCACTGCTGTTCTGGCCTGGCCACACTCAGACCTCTCTACTATCAATGCAGCAGAGCCTTCAGGATCAGAAGAGACCATTAGATCATCTTCTCTGTCATCTCTCACCAGTGTCCCAGTCACTGGGACCTTTAAAGGGCATTTGGACATGCCCTTAATGATGTTGTTTAACTTTTGGCCAGCCTTGAACGGGTAAATCACTTGGGGTAGGTGGTTGGTGTAAATACCTTCCAGCTGAAAGAGTCAAGTCTAATCTGGTCTGTTACCTTATCCTTTCTTTTTCTGTCCTGTCCTATCCTATCCTATCCTATCCTATCCTATCCTATCCTATCCTATCCTATCCATTTATAGAATCGTAGAGTAGGTTGAATTGAAAGGGACCTTAAAGCCTATCTTGTTCCACCCCCTGCCATGGGCAGGGACACCTCCCAGTAGCCCAGGATTGCTCCAAGGGTTACTCCAAGCCCCATTCAACCTGGCCTGGAAAACTTCCAGGGATGGGGCAGCCACAGCTTCTCTGGGCAACCTGTGCCATTGCCTCACCACCCTCACAGCCAAGAATTCCTTCCCAATATCCCATCTATCTCTCCCCTCTGGCAGTGGGAAGCCATTAGACAATACGTAATGTTCTCATTTTGCAGGACACATTTCCATGAGAGCCTCAAGCCAACGTCAGGGTGGGCTGATGTGCCCCATTCCCCCCGGCTCTCCCTGCCCTCACCCTCCTTTACTGTTGTGTGACTCCCACGTCTCCCCAGTCACTGCTGAGCTGGCTCAGGGCCCTGCCCTGGCACAAACCAAGTTGTTATTTTTATGTCAGGCCTGTCCTAAGCCAATTCAATTTCCTTCCCTGGCTCACCATGTTGCCCTAGTGCTGCTGCCAGCACGACCGTGGAGGGCAGAGGCTGCGAGTGGCCCTTAGCCATTAACACCTAAAACTCAGCATCACATCACCCTCCCCCTGTGTCCTGCTCCTTGATTCCAGGCAGTTTGGTTCTGTCTCAGTGCCCCTGTGACAGACCCAACTATCCCCATGGTGCTGTCAAAGCCTCCTGTGGTCAGACCTTTCCATCAAAGCCAGGTTGGACAGGGCTCGGAGCAACCTGGGATGGAGATGTGCATGAACTCCTCTTCCTTGTCATCTGTACAATATTTCTAAAAGCAAATGCAAAAGAGTGATTCATTTTTTTTATTAAATTACTGGTGTTTTTCAAGAAAGTAAGAAATTGTCAATAACTATTTTGTAATTTACTTAGATCAGAAGAGAGAGCAGTTCCTGGAGCTGGGAGAGGTATTGGGAGACACCAGCCTGAATGGGGTGATCTGCATTCCTATAAAAGCAGGGAAAAACGTGTACAGACAGAAGTGCAGAGGAAAGCTGAAGAAAAGCAATGTGGAGTTTAGGAAGTGGATGGGGATGGCTAATAAATTAGCATGAAGGTGTCTGTGAAATTCATCAAGCCTAGTGTAAAGGCTCTGGTTTTTCTTCTCTTAAATCTGTTTCCTCACTGGTTTAACTCCCCTTTCTCCTGCTCCTTCCTTTGCACTGTGCAGTTGAATATCTCCTGGTGTTAATCCAGCCAGGCCAAGTGAAATTTGTGCTCATCACAGACCCATCTGTGTTAATTGTAGTTGCACATCTATTCAGCTCAGCGCTGGCCCCTGTGCCACTCCAGAAGAGTTCAAGTTGTTAAATTTGGTGTTACTGAAAAGAACTTAAATCTGCATTTTTAAGTAACTGTCGGGTTCACAATGTGGATTTGTGTCTGTGAATAAGGGAAACATAAATCCTTGAAATAAAGCCTAAAGAAATGCAAATTGTCTCCTGAGGTGAGAACGGTGGCTGCAAGTAGCTCTTGTGGTGCACCAGGTATGTGTCTGGTTTAATTTGTGCCATCTGTGGTGATGCTGACCCTGAATTTCCCTGCAGCGCCCTCAGGAACCGCCCTGGGCTGTCCATGGATCCCACCTGGAACCTCAGGGATAGCACTGGGAAGGCTGTGTGGCCACAGGGAGCACATTCCTCATTCCCACACTAATCCTGGTTGTTTCAGTTAATAACAGTTTGGTTTCTATAACTGAGCCAGCAATTCCTTTTGCAAGGGAGGTGGGATGAGGGATCTCTGCACAGCAGTTGGACAACCAGTAACTCTCAAATAACAGCAGTGGGATATTCACTTAAAAATTGCTCTTTCATTTGTCATTCCCCTCCTGATTCCTCATGGCAAGGCCACTGTGGCACCAAACCAAGCTGGGAATAGATCTCAGCATTGGCTGGTTTCAATTAGCACAACCCAAAAGTCATCCTTTGTCCCCCAGTGTGTTTGTAGCTAAAAGGAGAATTATTTGGGAATGGCAGAAGCTGAGTCAGCACTCCTGGCTCTGCCTGTGTTACCAGGCTGGATTGATTATGTTAATGATTAACAAGCCCAGAGGGACCATGTTAAACATCAGGGAGACCCAGGTGCTGCCTTCCCCTTCCCAGCCCTGGGATCTGTCACCTCTGCTGCTTCTGCTTTTCCTGCCTCGAACCTCCGTGGCCCTTCCCTCTGTCACCTCGGAGTGCTGCCGCTGTTGCTGATGATTATTGGAAATGTGTTTAATACCTATTTCAGCAAGATTTCCAAGGCAGCTACAGCCTGTATGAGGCAGCCATGGAATGGTTTAGGTGGGAAGGGATCTTCGAGCTCCTCCAGTCCCACCCCGTGCCATGGACAGGGACTCTTTCCACTAGCCCACAGTGCTCCAAGCCACATCCAGCCTGGCAGTATGAGGTGCCTGGAGCTGTGTCACCCTCTGTAGCTGAGGTGTGAAGGACCAAGTCTAAAATTAACACGTTTTGGACATTTGGGTGTTGCAAGGTGGTAGTAATTCAGGTGTAGGTCAGGCTGACTTACAAAGTGCTGTTTGCTTTTAAGTTGATGTCATTCAGTGACAGAGGGTTCTGTGCAGAGGGTTCTTCTCCCTTCAGCGTGGTTCCCTCTGGTTCTCCTCATGGGAATCATCCTGGCCTGGCCACTCATCCTCCTCCATCCCTGAGGACAAAGCTTTCCTCCTTCATCCTTACATACTGTGAGACTATCCTTCAGCTCTTGACCTCTTTTGACCTTGTGTAAGCCAAAAGGGTTTGCAGAAAAGCTCCTCAGAACAACTTCAGTCTGTTCCTAACAATATATATTTACTGAAACAAATTATTTTAATGCATTAAAACTGGAATCTCTGAATCCTGGAGAAAATGCTGCTGGGCAGAAGGTCAGGAGTAGCAGTTCCCCCTTTGGAAGCAGAATGGAAAAGGGAACGATCTGGGTTATTTCCAGTGTGACTCTTCTCTTTCCCCTCGCTGCCTCTTTGCACTGACACATCCTTCCCCCTGGCACCCCTGGTGTGAGGGTACTGACGGGGTGTTTTGGCTCTTTGGCAGTGTCCTGGACAGCCCGGGGCGGCTGGACGAGGAGCACAGGCTGATTGCCAGATACGCCGCGCGCTTGGCTGCCGAAGCTGGGAATGCCGTAAGTGAATCCCTCCTTACCACCTGGGAGAAGGGAAAGGGGTTTGCAGAGTCATAATTAGGAGCTTCATTCTGACAGCTGCATGAAACTGTCATTTTTTGTTCATTCAGCAGCACAGTGCCTCAGTTCCAGCAGG